ATGCAAAGTTGCAATAGCCCTTTAAATAACATCGTGGCTTGATGCTAGTTCCAAAAGGGTAGGTCAGCTCTTCCAAAGTACTCCCAGTGATCCTACCCTCAGCAACAGTCATTACCTGAGGTAGGTGGGAGGCTCTGTGCTGATAGACACTGCCTTATATTTCTCATCATTTCCGTCCAAGATCTCTTCCACTTCAGATGCTTTCAAGAGTGTCACACTAGTGGCTAATGTTGTATAACCGTGATCTGTAACCAGAAAGCATGGGAATGGTTAGCATGAGAAACACTGGCAAGCAGAAAACTTGTTCTAATGGGCTTCTCCTGCATTCTGGGGTACTCAACCTTCACTCCTACTGGCAACCTATTTCAGACTCTAGACAGCTTCTAGCAGCTTGGATTCCCTCATCTCATCCCTTTAAGAACAGCTCCATTTTAAAGCAGATTTTTGATCTGTCACTTGTGTATGCAGTGTATCCCGTTCCTCTCCCTTTCAGCCACTGTGCAACATGGGATACTGGGCAAGATGGACCTATAGTCTGCCCCAGTAAATGACAATTCTTATGTTCTTATGCAGGGCACACATGAAACATTCATACTACAGCAACTCCAAAATAATCCAGCCCAACTGCCTCATGCCCTACCCAAGTGCAAGGGACTGCCTCTGCTCTAAAACTTTCATTCTAATTCTGGTGTCAAGTGAGTCAAAATTGTTTCTTTAGTGGTTATATTATGGCACCCTGCTCAATACCTTGAAGCAACAGGGAGGAGTAGGATGTAGACCCCATGCAAAAACTCTGAATGCTGGTGATTGAACAACATTTGCAAATGGCAGAACATCTACTCTTTATTTGACTGCGTTTTGGTATGCTAAAACCTGCCTGACAAAAATACTGCTATTTTGCTGCTGGGTAGGGACAAGGAGAGATTCCCGCATCTGTCCTTACAAATGTAATTAATTGACCTTATGCTGTAACCTTGCTGTGCAGCACTAGGCCTGTTGCAAAAGACAGTGGAGACCTCTGCTGTGATATCAGTATATCAAACAAGAGTTCAGAGTGCCAGAATGAAACTTTTCCACAGGTCAGCTATGAACCCAGTGCTTCTAGAGCAGAAGGCTAAGGCCTATTATTAGATAATCAAGCACCACTCTTTGTAAGGACAAAAGGAATATCTTGAGCTATTTAATAACAAACCTTAATATTCCTGCAAGAAAATGACTGGAAATGTCCAAGTCCTCATTAAATATTAAATCTAACGTGCATCAGATGAAAATGTCTTTTATCCTGGAGTTCCCACTGTAGATATATAAAAAACATCTTCTTAATCTGCTTACCTGGGACCACACCTCAGCAACAAGTTAAAGACCACTCTCTTTGTTCCTTCTTTTGAACATAAAATGACTACAAACAGGAAAATGAGCTGACACCTAGCTTTACTCCTGTACCACAAATCCACAAGTGCCATCATGGACTTAAGACCTGATGCTCATGTAGCATCCTTTAATGAGGTGCTTGATTGCTCCCACTGCAGGAGAGACATCCTAACAACTAATGAGGCCTGAATGGATGCACAAAGGTCTGGAGGGTGGGCTAGAAAGGAGACAGAAAGCTAAATGCAGAATAGAGGATGGAACAATCCCACGCACCAGTACAGGCTGGGGGCTGACTGGCTGGGCAGCAGCTCTGCAGAAAAGGACCTGGGGGTTACAGTGGACAGTAAGCTGAATATGAGCCAGCAGTGTGCCCTTGTTGCACACACTAATCAAGAGCATTAGGCTGCATACACTAATCAAAAGCATTAGTCAAAGCTAGGCTCCACTGCAGACAGGACAAGTGCCTGAAAAACCAGGTAAAAACAAGAACTGGGAGACTGGTTGGCAGCCCCCCTCATATCTGGAGACAGCCCACAAAACCCACACATAAGATGAGTAAAGCTTGCGAACAAACACAGTCAGTACGACCACTAAGAAAAATACATCCTTCTTCAACACAGAAAGAGCCAAAATAGAGGGCAAATGAGTCCAATGACCCAGAGGAGGCGAATATGCTTGTACAGCAGTAGGGGTCAGAGCAGGGATTCGTTGTCCAGCAAAACTAAGAATAACATAGGCTGATAAGACTTACATCTTCTGGGACTGTGAGACCGCTGTGACTCTATTGGAAAAAAAACAGAAAGCGACAAGTCAGCAGGAACCTCAGAGGAGGAAGGAGACAGAAGCTTGTTATGCTCCAGGCCTGTTGTTTCTAAAAGGTTATGTTTCTTTTTTCCAAAAAAACAAAAAACCCAAGTAGCTTGTTCTCCTTCATGAGAGAAACAAGGAAACAAACGCCCAAGACCGCAAAATTTTGACTTTGCTTTGTTTCTATCGGTGCAGTTCTCGCATTACAACAGCTCTAGAAGCTGCGACCATTCACACTGATCTTCCTGTCTCACATGGGGAGATCCCAGAGAGGAGACAAAGCAGGGGGATATCTTTTTTTCCCCCGAACAAGCACCATGACCCTCCTGCCCTGTTACCACAGGGGCAGCGAGCAAGCAGACCAGATCACATGCCTGCTACAGCAAATGAAATTCACCTGAGAAAAGTCAGAAAAGCCTCAGTCTCCTGTCATTCAACGAGAGCTCCCTCAGGGGCGAGGGGTGATTAGACAGTTTTTGCCCAGTCCCAGTCCCATTCCCAGACACTCCTTCTGTGCATGAGGTGTTAGGACGAGATGCTTGGGGCCTTACCATGAGAAGATGCCACGATTTTCTTCCTCTCTTCCACGGTGGCCAGCCGCCTCCACAGCGAGGGGTACCGCTTGTACAGGGAGCCCCGGAACATGCGCAGGTAGTTCCCCACCTAGAGCCCAGAGCGTGGAGGTTCGGTCCGGGGGATGCCGCGAGCCAAGCGAGGCCCTGCCCCTGCCCCGCCCCGGTAGTGGGGTTGGGGTGGGGGGCAGCTCTTTCACCCCCATCCAGCCTTGTTCATCAGGCCCCGAGCCCCGTGGGGCAGGTGGCCTGTCTGCCAGGCCCAGCAGGGGCTGCTAACGGCTCCGAGTGCCCAGAGACCAGGTGCTGTCGTGGGGAGTCTCCCTGCTTGTCTATCCTCACTCAGGGGTCAGTGGGTCAGGTTGTGTGACCAAAGTGTGCGCGCGCAAGAGAGTGTGTGTGAGCAGCATGACCCCTGCCCCAATCGGGGGGTGTGTGCCCATCGTGACCCCCTGCCCCAATCAGGGTGTGTGCGTGTCCGTCATGACCCCCCGCCCCAATCGGGGTGGGGTGTGTGTGTGTGTGTGTGTGTACCCACCGTGACCCCCTGCCCCAATCAGGGTGTGTGCGTCCGTCGTAACCCCCTACCCCAATCGGGGTGGGGGTGTGTACCCACCGTGACCCCCTGCCCCAATCGGGTGTGTCTGGGAGGGGGCGGGGGCGGGGCACGAGCCCACACGGGCCAGGGGCTCACACAGTCCCTCTCCCCCCACCGCAGGGCGCTTCCCGGCCCCGGCGGTACCTCGGAGCCGATCATGTAGAATTCGCCGTCCTCCTCCAGCTGGAACTTGACGGGCTTCTGCCCGAACGTCTTGCTGAGCGCCATCATCATCATCGTGGCGGCGAGGACGGGACGGGACGGGACGCGGCGGCGACGGCGACTCGGGCTGGGCTGGGCGGGCTGCGGCCT